GTCCTCTGAATCAGGTCAGTGCAGGTTCTGGCCAAATGCATTTTTCTGATCTTTGCTAAGTGCTTTCTGGCAATGCCACCATCCCATCAGTCTGCTCTCTCAGGATGTGGTCCAGAAAGACAGATCCCAGGTTTGGACACATATTATGTTGCCAGTCACTTCTTGCCATGTCCTCCTTTTGTTTCCAAACTTACTCCCCTCCCACCCCCTTGAGGAGAAGGGCCGCCTGGGCCCCTGGCCCAAATGCTCATAGCTCTCCCCCTTCCTTTGCCCAGCCCCAGAGATGCTGTCAGACCTGTCTTCCACCGTCAGAAGGGCGGGTGTGGACAAGTGCGGGGAGCCTAGCAGCCCCCGACTTGCGGGTTTGGTTTATCACAGTCACTGCTGAGCCTGACTCGAAGACAGGGCTGCGGGAGCCTTGCCGGTGTGTGCTTTGGTGTGGGTGCCTCGCCCCTCCCTTCCTGCCGGCCCCTTGGCCTGAGCCTTCCGTATTTCCTTGTGGCCTCAGCTTTCTCAGGGTAATAAGAGGACCTCCCGACAGGCAGTGAGGATTTGGTAGACAGCTTGTGTGCAGTGCCACAAAGGGAGCCAGCAGCCCTGCAGCAGCCCCTGCTCCCTCGAGTGTTAACACAGCCCCACGCCCAGGGGGACTCCAGGGTGGAAAGCTTCTTCGCACTGCCCAGAATCTCAATCACTTGCCCACGTGTCCTTCCAGTGGTGCTGTTTATTCATTCTGCTCTTGATCCCCACTGATTGGCCCTCAGCTCCTCCCCCTCCCTCTCCTTGTCTGCAGGGTTTGACTCCTGCTGTTTGCTCCACACAGACTAGTAGCTACAGGCATACCTCAGCTGTCCCAGAGGGAAGAAAGTATAGTTGGACTGTGATGCAGATATATCCAGGGGGTCCTATCAGATGAAATGAAACATGGTCTGTCTCTAGCTGAAGCAGCCATCACTGCCCTTGAGTAAAGTTCCAAGGCCTTATCTTGCCTTACAAGGCCCGTGCCCTGGCCTCCGACACTGGATATCTTTCATTCCCCCAGCACACCCTGTGCTCAAGTCTCTGCACATGCTCTTCCCTGTGCCAGAATGTTCTTAGATCCACTTTCCCCCTCCTTTTCATTTTTAAAGACTCTGCTTCAATGTCGTTTGATCACAGAAACATATATTCCTTCCCAGGCGTTGCCAAAGACCCTTTCCATACCTGCCAGGGCACCATGCTTTTGCTCTTAGAACAGCTATAACATTTATAAATATTTTTAATTGTGTCTAGTGGGAGCTGAGGGCGGGACTTCCCCCGTGTCCATTGGCAGTGGGGTTGGCCCACTTTTGCCATTCAGAGGCCATGGCAGGGAGGGTAGGATCTCTTTGTTGCTCTGTAACTTCTGTGATGACAAGAGCCAGGTCTGTCTTGCTTGTCACTGTCTCTCTCTCCACCAACACTGTTGCTGGGCCAGAGAAAGACTCATGAATACTGGGACTAGCAACAGTGGGAAGTTGTGAGAAGTTCCCTCCCCTGCCACGGTGTTGGCAGATACCTTAGTTCTCCTGAGGACTTTTCCTGCAGACTAGCATAGTTCCTCCTATTTCCTGGGGACTTGAGGAGTATAGGTGACACTTATCTCTGTGTCTGCCCAGAGGGACTTGGGGCAGTGACTCAAAAGAAATGGTTGTGTGTATGTGTGAAAGGGGGTGTTGACGAGGGAGTTCCTGGTGAAAGGTAATGGGGAGGGGGAACAGAAGGGTCCTGGAATTTAGTGTGTCCTTGCAGGGCTCCCTGAGTATCAGGGGGAACTCTGAGAGCAGATGGCGGGCCCCAGGCCTTGCTGGGGGCTCTTGGATGTGAGGACACTGTGGTCTTGGCCCTCAGGGACCTCCTGCCCTTGTTCCTGTGTTTGTTCGATACAGCTCCAGAGGGGTTCCGCTGTGGATCCTGGCTGCTCCTTCCAGGGACTCTGTCAATTGTTACCCAGTGCCCTCCCTTGGGTGCCTGGCCACATACCACTGTGACCTGTGATATGTTTTTATGTCCGGTGTCCCTAGCCAAGTGTGAGCCCTCTGAAAGCAGGGGTATGTGTTATGTCGATGACGCAGGTGTTGCCTGGTATATATATTAATAGCACAGAGATTGTTGGGAATGGGCAGCTATGTGTTTCCTCTCTGCCTCCACTTTCTCCGTCCTTGGTGGTTTTACTTGCCTTGAACATGTGTGAGTATTATTTAATTTTTTCATCATTAGGACAACCTCACATACCACAGATTTGCCGTCAGACCTTGTGGATACTGAGTCTGTGTTCCGGTCAGTTTTGGAGATGACTACCTCCCCAGTAGTAACAAAAAAAGAGAAACCACTCCAGTGGTCGGATCACACACATAAACATAGGCTCTAACGTGGAGGATGCAACTGCAGTGTTTATTCCCAGGACTGTGTGGCTTTCTAGAGCTTGTATGTCCATTACCACAGCTATCCAGGCAGCCAGGGGCTGTCTAACCAGAGGGCAGAGTCCCTGCTTAAGTGGAAGGAAACAAGACAGTGGGGTGCGTGTAGGCTAGAGTCAAACAACCATCAAATCCTGGATCCTTCCTACTTTGTCTGCCCTGTCTCCCGGGGATTGTGAGTAGACACAGACTTATGGCAACCAACTGCTCCCATCTCCCTGTTGGTGATAAAGCCACACAGAGGCAACCTCGCCAGCTTGCACCATATGCTCACCAGTTAAAACTCCAGTGCACGCCACATGCTAGGCTGTTGGGAACACATTTTTGTTTTGATGTGGCTATTCTGAAGTTAATGTGTGCAAGAGAAGATGCTTTCTGTCAACCAAATGATGGTGCAGCTATTGCTAAAACTATGCTTTTGTTATGCTTGTGAAATGGAGAGGGTTTTGTATTTCTTTGCTAAATACTCTATTATCAGATGAAAAAGAAATTACCATAAAAGTTCCTTCAACACCAAATGGAATGTTTCTTAAAGGCATGTTCTCTCTTTCCCTGTACCAGCCCAGTTTTTGCTTTTAAGGAAAAGTGCCTGTTCACGTTCACAGTCATGCCCTATGGTTTTCTCCTGCTGCTTCCAGCCAATGTGTGTCTGCCCGGAAACTTTGCCATCGTATCGCCGGGTCCTATAACCGTCCCTCTAGGAGATACCCAGCAAGGACAGCCCCTAGACAGCAGGGGACTTTGCTGTGCCAGGCCTCCCTCAAGTCTCCCGGGAAAGCAGACTACTGTGTTAGGCTAGAGTCCCCAGCAGAAGATGTATGACGACAAGTCATCAAGCCACAGGCAGGCAGAAGGGAGAGACCCTCCATCCTCTGCAGCATTTTTGTTTTGTTTTGTTTTGTTTTGTTTTGTTTTGTTACCAGAAGGGCACTCGAGGGAGGAGTCCCACCAAGGAGTTTTTTTCCTGTGCAGTGTTTGGAAGTAACTCAGGACCAGGAGAAGCTGGCATCTCCACCCTTACCACTGCCCACCTCCCTCCCAAATTCCCTGACACATTCTCAGGAGTAGGCAGCCTGAAAGTGGACAAGGAGCGAGGGTGCTGGGCCAAGCAAGTCCTGGCAGTATGACTTCTTGCTGCGATGCAGAGGGCAGCGAGGCCCCCTGCCCAGTGAAGGCTGAGCTTCCCTCTCCCACAGTAATGCCACTGCCTGGCCTACGGGGGGTGTGCTGTGCACACCCCATGGCCAGCCATCCCTGCTTGCCTGAGCTGGCAGAAGACCCCCAAAGAGAGAGAGCTCCCTGGTCTGCTTGTTTTTGTGGGGTCTGGGCAGGTCCGTCACAGTTCCCGCCACATGCAGATCCTGTCTGAACCTGTGTACACTGAGAACCCTTGGAGCGCACTGCCAGGATTCCAGCAATGTGGTTTCGCCCACATTGGTCAAGGACCCTCAGAGGTGACCCGTCTTCAACTCTTCTGGCCTTTATATGTGGCAGTGGCTCATAATTTTTTTGTATTCTCAATCTTTCAGCTACTTATCCACAGCTTACAGCTGAGAATTTTGCTCAGCAAAAACATGCAAAGAAAGCCACACCGTGCCATACCCCGCTCCCTAGAGGATGACACACATAGGAGCAAAAGCGTTTTATCTTGGTGCCAGCGTCAGGTGTCCAGTCTTTAGGTTTTAGTTGTGTGCCCACAAGGGATTCTTCTACATAGTTTTCAAAATGATGGACCAATTTACGTTATAAGCAAACATTCAAGTGAAGGGTGACAGGCCTCCCTGGTGTAGCCACTAATAAAGCATCAGACTGCTACTTGCTTACTAACTTGATTACCTTGGATTTTTTCCCCCTTTTCCTTGAAGAGACAGAAGGACCATGTATCAGTTTTCTATTGCTGCATAACAAATTAGCACAAAAATAGCAATTCAGAATGGCACCCATGTATTACCTCAGAAGTCCAGCATGACTCAGCTGTGTTCTTGGCCGTGAGCATCCCAAGGCCATGATCAGCGTTGTGTTGGCTGCGCTCTTATGGGGAGGCCCTGGGAAGATTCCACCTCCAGGTTCATTCGGGTTGTTGGCCGAATTCACTTTCTTGTGCTTGTAAAACCAGGGTCCCTGGTCCTGTTTTCTGTCGGCCAGAGTCACTCTCAGCTTGAGTTCGTTCATCATCACACAGTTCCCTCCATCTTTAAAGCCAGAGAGTCGTGTCAAATCCTCCCCCTACTTCTAACCTCTCTGACTTCCTTTTCCGCCACGAATCAGAAAACATCCTGCTTTCAAAAGGCTCCTGGGACGGGAGCAGGCCCACCTAGATAAGCTCCATGTATTAAGGTCAAGAGACTTGAGACCTGAATGTCAGCGGCACAACCCCTTCCTAGTAGTGCTTTGACCTGCCTTTGATTGAATCGACAGGGACAGGAGTCTTAGAGACCATCTGTAGAATTCTGGCTGCCACACAAAGCACAAAGAAATCACCCTCATGACCATCCTCACACCTCACTTGACACTTCCAAGAAATTCCTGTTGTGATTGTATCTCCATTGTTTTCTCCACCAGCCAGCACTGGGGATCCTGTGGCCGAACCAGGTGCAGAACCGGAACCAGAGGCAGAGGTGGGACAGGTGGCCGATGATACCAACCAAGAAGTAGCCCCTGCCCACGTAGGGACAGAGAGTGAAGTGGAGCAGGAGCCAGAAGAGCGAGCCTCCCTCAGTGAGAAAGAGAGGCGGAACGAGGAGGTGAACGAGAGGGACAACTGCTCTGCCTCCAGCATCTCTTCCTCCAGCAGCACCTTAGAGAGGGAGGAGAAGGAGGACAAGCTCTCCAGGGACAGGGGAACTGGTAATAAAGCCCCCTTCTCCATTAACATTCCAGGGGACCCCTGGGACAGGGGGCATGGTGTGCTGGCCTCTGAGGTGACCTGCTGGCTCAGCTCACTCACTGGGCTGTGTCGCCCAGAGTCTGGAAGTGAGGAATGTGACCACACTGTCAACCAGACAGCCAGCAGCTTCCAGCGGGGCAGGGGGCGGGGGTGGTCCCCACACCCTCCGCCATGCTGTTACATTATCATTTCTGTAGGTGGGAAAGGGCCCGATATTGAGGGCAACAGGGGATATTTCCTGAGGCATCAGCCCCAAATGCCTCTTTCCTCCTAATTGTTTATAGAAAGTGTAGCTTCTTTCTGATTTAAGTTTACAGACATGTCCTCTTGTTATCTACTCATTTGAAAGAGTTTTTTTAATTGAAGTGTGACTGAACATTTCAGACCAGTGCATATTTGTTTAAAAAGAATCAAATGAGGACTTGCAAAAAGTGGCAGTTTACAGTGTGCTGAGGTCCATTTGATGTGCTCTACTGGAATAGACATAGTTCAAATAATTTTCTACAATATACTCAGGGCCACGTTTTTCTTTGGTATAAAGTACATGCTCTTCCTTATGGAATTATATCTTTTTAGCACTATATATGATATTCAGTTCTCCTATGTAATGGTGACTTTATGATTAGGGATTAAATGAAATGTTAGTCCCCAGTAGGGACTTGGAGAGGAAGCCCATGTTTGCCTCGATAGTTCACAGGTTAAGAATGCATTGTCTCTGAAGATGAGTGAATGAAAATTGAATGGATGAATGGAGTCATAATTACTCCCATGAGACCTGTCAATCAATGGCTTAGTCTAAAATAGTTAGTTGTTGAGTTTTCACAAGTTACAATATATTAGGTTTTATTCTCTACAGTGCTAGTCGCTGTGATGCGGTTTAAAAAAGAGGACTGAAGGAATTTATTAGTTTATATCTCAGGAAATATTGCATTGAAAAATCATGTATCTGTTTGGTTGAAGAAGTATGTGCTAAGGATATTAAATTAATACTTACTTAATTTCCTTCAAAGTCATCTTACAGTTAGTCTCCCACATTCTACTTGTTTATTCACATTTAATGTAATTATGGTCATAGTACAAGATGTTGGGTAAGTCTTCTTGATCATTTTGGCCTTAAAATGTTTACTCCTTATAAATAACTTTCTGAATTATTTGTCATGACTAGGTTTAGCAGGCCTAAAACATATCAACAAGTTGGCTTAGTAAAAATAAGCCAGGGAACAGAACTTTCTTGGATCAGATTGTCCAATGTTCTTCCAAATAAGGACAACTTTCCAAAAATGGAGACTCTCCTCCCAGTGAAGGACCATTGACTTTTTAACAAAAACTGGTGGTGTCCAAGTGTATTCACTCAGGAACTAGGGCTTCACAGTGACTTTTCTGCTTCAGTCTGGTGCTTTTAAGTGATATGACCATGTGCATATGTGGTAGCTCTTTGGTTCTCAAAAATCCCAGTGCTTATGGACACCATCAGCAGTTGTGGGGTCAGGACAGATTTCTCAGCATAGGTCTTAGTTTTCAGAATGTTCTCAACTAAATCACCAAGTCAATCAAAGTGATTTCCAATCATATTCTAATGATTGTGTCTATTATTTGAAAATGAACTTGTGAGGATAGAAAGAGATTCAACTTATTCTGGGTTGTATACTTTACTTTTTCTTTGTTTCATGTGTTCTGTTCCATGCAAAGTCGTATAAAGAGGCACTATCATAGCATTCATGACACTTTGTTGTAATTACTTGTTTAACTGTCCTTTGTCTACACTTGAATGTAAGCTTTGTGAGGATGGGGATGTCTGTCTTGTTCATTGTGAGTTCACACTTCTTAGCTGGAAGTTCAGAGCATAGGAGGGGCTCACAAAACCATTGGTGGATAAATGATGAAGAGGCATCTAGCTAAGATGGAGAAGCTCCATTGCTCCCAGGTTCTCCCTCTTACAACTAAAATAATACTGGGCATAACTATGCACACTGGGCATAACAGAACAACCAAGCATAGGAAGACTCTGAAAGGCGGAAAGAAGACAGACTGCCTAGGGACATTCAGACTTCAATGACAGGGCAATGAAGCACCAAGTAAAGCTTACTCTCCTAGCCAAAACATTGGGAAAAGCATTGCTAAAACAACAGAAAGTCGTTTTGGCTATTAATATATTCCCTTCCCTGGACAAGCACTAGTGGAACACCTGCTGCTGTGTGCCCCCACCATCCAAACCCATAGCTTCCAAATACCTGGGTGCGCCAACGATGAATTCCATATGCAGCAAAAGTAACCTTTAAGAATGATGGGGAAATAAATACAGTTTAATAAAAACTAAGAGAATTTTTCACTAGCAGACCTATTCTTAAATAATGGATAAAGAAAGTTCTCTGAACAGAAAGAAAAGACAGGAGGAGACTTGAAATTTCAGAATGGAACAACTGAATGGGTAAATATAGGGGTAAATTAAAAAGGACTTCTTTTTCTTGTGAGTTTATTAAATTATATTTGATGGTAGAAGCAAAAATTATATTTGATGTGTTCAATATATGTAGAGGAAATATGACAGTTATATTTAAAAAGCGGAGAAAGTAAAGGGATTTAAATGCAAGTAAGTTTTCTATACTTCAAAGTAGTAAAATATCAATACCAGTAAACTAATGAATTAGTGTATATATCGTAATAACTAGAGCAACTGCTCAACTGCTAGGAAATGTATATGAAGCAACATACTCCAAAACACTACAAGTCAAATTGAAATTCTAAAAAATGTTCAAGTCAGCTACTGAGACCAAGAAGGGAGAAACAGGAACTGACGCAAAGGAAAAAAAATGAAACAAAAACAATGGCAGACTTAAGCACTAACATATCAATAATTACTTTAAATTAAAATAAGCCTGAGATCTGCACAGTGGATGAAAACACAACCCAAATCTATGCCAGCCATACAAAACTCATTTCAAATATAATGACATGGGCAGATGAAAAGTTAAAGTTGGGAAAGAGATAACATGTCAACATTAATAAGGAAAAGCAGGAGTAGTCCTATTAATATCAGATAGAGTTCAGAGCAAAGGAAAAAACTAGGGACAAATAAGCACACTGCGTAACAATATAAGAAGACCTAAATGAATAAAGAGAGTAAGTGAGAAAACCAGCATTGAAAATGTTACCCTATTATGCTGTTTTTCCTGTTGCCAAAATGAGAAATTGCCAACATTTCCCAATAAGTGGAGAGAGAGTGAGGCAATCTGCTGAGAGAGACTTGGCCACTGTACCTACCACAGGCCCCTGGTGCCAAAGCAGCCTCCCTATTTGCAGGACCGTAGGGCCAGTTGTAGGGACTCCAGATAACCAGATTTTTCCATCATGTGCTCAAATACCGCCTCCTGTCTCTTTGATGATGGTTACCTCCTAAGTGTTTTTGTTTGTGGAACCTACAAGAGGGCTCAACAGCTTCTTGTTTTAGTCTTGGTCTCCTGGAGAGGTTAGGCCTCTATTAAAGCAGAGCGCAGGGGACAGAGCCACACTGGAAGAAGCAGATCACAAGGGGGCTTTTGTGCCTCTCCGTGCTTCCCCTAAGATCAAGGCGGAGCCCTGTGGGAGGGAACAGCATGTTTGATCAGGCTCTTCTCCTCTGGTAGAATGAAAGCTCCTGATGCTCACGTCCATGGCCTAGGTCTCCTGCCACCTCCCAACACAAGTATCCATGGAGACCCTGCATATCTAATGGAACTCACATCCCAAAATACCCACCCCACAGTCCTGCTGGCCCTTAGGGAGCAAACTCAGAGGAATAAGATCCTGACTGTTCGTTCATGCATTTATTTATTCATGCTGGATGCTCGGGATGCAAGCGTGAACAAAACACACCCAAATCCCTGCCCCTTGTAGACTTTACATTCCAATGAAGAGGACTGTTTAGCAAGTAATTATAACTGTTTCAGTAATGAGGCAAAGACAGCAATAAAGTAAATAAGAAAACTGTGTGGAAGGTTAGATAGTAATAAAAATAAAGTAGGAAAGGATGATAACTGGGGACAGAGTAGGTCATTGGGAGTTAGAAGGCAGCACCCCATCGCCACCTAGTCAGGGCATTTTGTCAGCCTTGGCCACCTTCCCCTTCAATTGTCTTGTTTCTGCATGAAAAGCCCACATGTCACCTAATTGTTTTTCTCATGGTATTGAGACCCCTGCCACTTTCTCATTTTTCTTTTCCTGTTCGCTTTCAGGTTTGTGGTCTGCGGGTGTCCAGGATGCCAGTGTAAATGAACAGTGCGGCGACATCCTCACCAACAAACGGTTCATGCTGGACATGCTGTATGCCCATAACAGAAAGCCCACCGATGAGGAGGAGAAGGGCGAGGGCGAGCCCGCGGGGACTGAGCAGGGGGCGGAGGCGGTGGCCAGCCTGGCCAGCAGGATATCCACGCTGCAGGCCAACTCTCTGGCCCAGGACGAGAGCGTCAGGAGGGTGGACGTTAGCTGCCTGGACAATCGGGGCAGCGTGAAAGCTTTTGCGGAGAAATTTAACAGCGGGGACCTAGGGAGAGGGTCCACCTCCTCGGACACCGAGCCCAGTGACAAGGTCACGGAGAAAGCATCCACACAGTCCAAGACGGAATCTGACTACATCTGGGACCAGCTCATGGCCAATCCAAGAGAGCTCAGAATCCAAGACATGGATTTCACTGACCTGGGGGAGGAGGATGACATCGACGTCCTGGATGTGGACCTGGGTCACGGGGATGCCCCAGGACCGCCTCCCCCGCCCCCACCTACCTTTCTGGGTTTGCCGCCCCCGCCCCCTCCGCCCTTGTTGGACAGCGTGCCTCCCCCTCCAGTCCCCGGTAATTTATTGGCTCCTCCTCCAGTATTCAATGCTCCTCAGGGCTTAGGGTGGCCCCAGGTACCCAGGGGTCAGCCGGCATTCACGAAGAAAAAGAAGACGATCCGTCTGTTCTGGAATGAAGTGCGGCCTTTCGAGTGGCCGTGTAAGAACAACCGCCGCTGCAGAGAATTTCTATGGTCAAAACTGGAACCTATTAAAGTGGACACTTCGAGGCTGGAGCACCTGTTCGAGTCTAAATCTAAGGAATTGTCCGTCTCAAAGGTACTGCTAGCATCCAGTATGCTTTTTGATTTGCAGAGCTATTTTCTGCTCTTGAGTAGGACTGAGAGATCTGTTGTATATAAAATTCCCTTTATGTTGCTTTGTTGCTTCTGCTATTTGATTTTCAAAAAAAGGCAGTTAGTATAAAAATATGACCTTTAATATATTAATTACTGTTTGTGCTATATCCTAGATTTAAGTTAAATGAATACAGGACCATCATAGCTAAAATAGACAGCAGCTTCCTGACATCATTAGGCTAAGTATCTTTCAAAGACCCAAATAACCTAGAGGAAATGACAAAAAGATTAACCCAGGAATATTAGCATAGCCCAACAGCAGAGGCTGCCCTCAGCTAGAGGAAAGTAGACCTGCGAATTTATCAAACATGTGGACTTTATCCCAGAGGTGGGTTTAGTTACTCTTACTCAGTAGTAGTTTGAACCTCAGCTGTAACCATGCAGTGTTTTTGCAAAGGCAGTAATTCAAGTGGCATTTCTTTGGATAATCCCTGGCTGACATAGTGTGATGCAACTACCTAAATGTTTCCAAATAGCCATAGAGTTAGCATTCTACAAATATTACACATCCATCGAGATTTCTTATTTTCCATGAATGTTTGAGAATTCTGTAGGCCTTGCTGCTGTGGTATTCTTAATAGAGGTATCATGTCCACTTTCATAAATAGAAATCAGTGTTCATAAAGTTATTGGGCATTACAGGTAAAGTTGTGGTTAATGAACACTGATAAAGAAGCTGCAATGTACTGGGTCACAGACTTTATGACTAATGATTTGCTACATCAATAAGGTCTTCTTTATATACCGTAAAGAATTGCTTTTATTTAAAAAAAAAATACTTGTGATTCTGAGTGTGATACAGTTTTAAAACAGGTTTAAGGCTATCCTCTCTTCTCAGGATCTAGGAGTATAAGAAAATACTTTTAAAATATAATTTAGAGTGAGCATTCAAGTATGTATTCTCATGAGTGAATTTTAGCTCCCCATGTTTCTCCATTTGTCTTCGTTTTGGGTGAGTATAAGGCTGCCTGAGTCAGGCTTCCTGACCTGCTGGTCGGCCACCTACTGAATCAAAAAGTATATGCAGCATTGTCAGGGCAAGAGTGCCCTCCAGAAGAGGAGTCTAGTGACAGAGTTAGTGCATGTCACCTCTGTGATTGGCTGACAGGCCAGGTGGAGGAGCTATAGTTGGTCGACTTACTGCTAACACCTCTCTTGTTGGGGATTGGAGGAAGTCGGGGTTTGGAGCTATACTTGCTGCTCTCCCCGAGTTGGCTTTTACTGAGTTGGTCTTTACCATGGTGTCGAGTTCTGCTCAGTCTCAGGGAGGATGTGAATCGAAATCATCTCCAGGCTCAGGAATCCCCTGAAGTCAGAGTTAAAGCTTTCTCCTGTTTATAAATCCAAACCTCTAGGATCCAATACAGAAAATCATGCCAAATCAGCTCTCTCCTTCAGCTGAAAGTAGACCCCTTTTGTCCTCTCTAGAAAATGATGCCTAGGAAAGTGATGCTGAGCACTCACTCTCAGTGCCTCTCTGTCCTGACTTTCCCAGGACTGAGCCACCTCTGTGTCCCCTTCAGTTCTTAAAGTCAGGCCTGGCATTTAGAGAAGACTGGCCTGGCTGTGTTAAAACAGCAGTCTCTGGTTGCCAGGAGTTACCCTGCACTTAACCTCACTCATTCCACTCTCCAACCCACAGATCTAGTCCCCGGCTCCTTCCTCCTCTGAGCACGGACTCATCAGGCCGCTGCATCCTTTGGGCCTCCCCTGGTTGCTCATCCCCCTCAAAGGTTGCTGGGGAGAGGCTGGCCCTTGACTCCATGTAGGAGGAATAAAGGGGAGCCTCAGTTTGGCAATGAAGGCACTTCTGACTTCATTTTTACAAAGGAAATTGTAAAATTAAAAGCTTCCTTGAGAAGACCCAAAATGGACAGTTCCCCTACCTCCCTCCTTCTCTCGGACCCACTGTGGTCAGTGTTAAGTCTGGTTGGTGACTTCTCAGGAGCCCAAAGTTTCATTCTTACTTGAAGTAGGTGGCGACCTTCTAAGAGACTTTATTGCCTAGATAAAGGACAAATGTTTGCATAGTTTTTATAAAGTGAGATCCTAAGAGGAAAGTAGTATATTAAACAGCTTATCAAACCAGTTCTAGAATTTTCCACAACAAGACCTAGGAGCCCATACCTTTGTTTTTGGGAGAGAGGAAATGTGAGCAGGGACTAATTTACAAATATTACGAAGGTGAGAATGCAAATTAGGATTAAAACATAATACATTGGAAAGTTCAATCCATTATGTGTATGTTAGCACTGCAAATATAACCAATCTTACTTCTGTTTCTAATCCATGACTGTGATTTTTATGAAACACAGCTGTAAGCAGCCACTTCCGAATTCTGGCTCATGAGAAGTTTTTCATTAAACACAATAGAGTGTAACAAAAATAAAATGAAGTCGATTTTACAAGACAGCACAAAGCAAAGGGAATCTGTTTTAGTTTCCGGCAGAAAACTTACATGAGACCAGAGTCATAACAGGTCATGGTTATCAGCATCCTAGTCATCCCCAAACAAAGATTCATGTGCTGGAGCCAAGGCTAGGTCACCACTTAATGGAAATGATAAGAACAAAAAGACGTGCTTTTTGGTTTCCTTTCCAAACAGTTTCTGGAACTGGATCTACTTTCCTCTCTCTCAGGAGGAAATATATATAGTTTTTTAGTAAGATGACTTTAATTATGCTTTTGTGAAGAAAGACAGAAATTCTGTGCTAAATTTCATCACGTTGTGTTCCTACTGTTGGTCTAAGATGCAGAGAACCACAGAGGAGAAAAAGTGACCCCGGAGAAAGATATAAGGGCAGAAAGCCCTTGGGTGTCTGGGGACTTACCCTCCATGAAGTTGGCATCATCCTGAGGAGCCCTAGGAAGTGTCCTTGTAACCTGTATGCCTAATCAAGGGCAGCAAAGTCCCTCCTGCTTCCAAAGGGAGCTTTTATATCCCAAGTTACAGACAGACCAAGACAGGTGTGGGGTGGAATAGGAGACCAGAATGAAGAAGGAGACTTGGCTTTCCCTTGGGGACTCAGCGTTGTCTTACCTTGGGCTCGTTAGGTTTATCTTGGAGAGGGGGCTCTAGAATGGATCTGGAAAAATTTGTTCAACTTTATTTACCTGAAGATTCTTAAATATATCAGAATCTGCTAGCTGTGACATTTTAAGAAAATTCACAGATGATGCTGTCCAGGTTTGGGTACTAGATAAACTACATTAACATTGGAAATATAAGTGTTTTACAGTTGGCCTCTGCTATACAAGACTCAAAGGGCAAGTATGGGAAATTAATACTTTTTCTCCTAAACTTAAGAATAAGGCAAGCCTGTCCTGGCCAGGTGGCTCAGTTGGTTGGAGCATTGTCCCATACACCAAAATGTTGAGGGTTCGATCTCAGGTCATGGCACATACCTAGGTGGCAAGTTCAGTCCCTGGTCTGGGTATGTATAGGAAGCAACTAATCAATGTCTCTCCTCCCCCACCCCCCTGCCGCCCTCTAAAACCAATAAACATACCCTTGGATGAGGACTGAAAAAAAAAAAAAAGAAGCCTAAAGAAAACCTATTGTGGCAGCTCCTCAGAAACGTTATTCCTAACTAAAAGGTGTTTCAGCCTTTGTTTAGACTTAGTGGGTTTTTTGTTGTCATTGTATTGTTTTTTGCCTAATGCTTCCCTGTGTCTGCTCTCTTGTTACAAAACTTAGGAAAATTCCAACATTGTCACATCTTTCTGACATCTGTATCATGGCATCATTGTCATTATCATTGTCTCAGCAAACAGTTTGAAAATACACAGTGGTGTCAGGCTTTTGGCAGTTAGGAGAGCGTGAGGCATGAGATGCCATTTCTAGAGCCGGTGTCTTTCTGAGCCAGACCAGGGCCTGTGACAGTGATGTTGCGAAGCATTTAGAGAAGCCAGTGGCCTTTCATGGAAGCGGTGTTCTCCAAGACTCACAGAGCCCTCTTCATAAATCGTGTCCTTAGCCGGTTTCTATTTTCAGTTACAGCACCCTCTGGGGTGACAAGGTCTGTGTGCTGAAGAGCTACTTTTAAAGGCTGCATTTTTTAAATTTATTGTCAAATTACTCTCTAAAAATTCAAAAGGGTGATCCTTTGTGGCAGCATTTCAAGAACATCTGGAAAATAAGCCCTGTTTACCTGCCCAGGCCACATATGCCTCCGCGAGCTTTGATCACGGCCGCCTCCTCACTCTTCTCATATCATTCTGTCCCCTCCTGAGCACGTTGCAGCCTTCAGCCTTCGCAGTGGCCCTTCTCTGGATCTGGGTGCTCCTTATCATTCTGTGCTTCAGGTAGAAGCCCCAGGACTGGTGGAGCAGGGTTTCTGTTCTATTTTCAAGAACCACCTCCATGATTTGGTTGTGTGGTGTTAGCTGTGGCAGACTGCGTGACTGTGTCTTTGGGGTCGGCCGCACCCAGCCCCAGAGCCTCCGAGCTGCATGCGTTACCACTGTGTGTGGGAGGCCCGGACAGCGCAGCTCCCAGCACTGGGCGGGGGGGGGGGGGGGAGCTGGGAGGGGGAGCTTGGCATTTGTTGGGCACAGCAGGCTCATTTCAACATCGATAAAAACTTCCTGCGCTGTGGATAGCCGTGAGAACTTTATCCCACTTCATTCATAAAAACTAGACGAGGACCCTGTTACTGTTTTCCTATTCTGAGAAATTTTCTCTTACTCCTGCCTTGTGTTTCCTACTTTTAAATTGTTTTGTTTTCTTGAAAGAACAACTTTCTACTCACCTAACAATCCTGCCTCAAAGCCTTTTAGACTTTTGAAAGTCCAAGTCAGAGAGTCTAGTTGCAGGAGAGATCTTCTAAACATCTGTGACCCCTGCACCCCACCCCAGACTGAAGAGCCCAGGATCTCTGAGGAGAGTACCCCAAGTATCACTGTGACTTAAAGATACCC